GTCAAGCGAAATTCCTGACCTCTGCTAAATACCTGACCTAGCGTGACGGGTCAGAAATTTCGCGCGTACAGGCGCGAAATACATGACGCTTGCTAAATTCTAAGTCGGCCAAAACTGTTTTTTAGAGTTTAGATAAAATAATCATGATGTTAATTTCTAATACTTCGTTAAATATTTCAAATCGACATCGCTAAGTTTCAATCACAAACACTTTATAAAATTTCAAAGCGAATTGTGTGGTCGTGACCGCGAAATACACGATGTTTGCTAAATACGGTCCGTCGAAACGATTTTTAAGTCCATATGCGATGTTACCAAATGTTTCTAATATACACATCGCTAAGTCTAAACGGCCAACTCACGAACTCATTGTTGCTGCATACTAAATAGTGAGAAGGTCAAACGCGAAACGATTTTTAGTGCTTTAATATAGTATAGTAATGCATATAGCATAACCTTTGAAACTGCTGGAGTCTATTTTATATCACTAAGATAGATCGCTTTTCGAGTGATTTTTTCCATATCTGCGATTCAAGCTTTATTATCGCTGAACGCTAACGTTCACAGTCAGTGGTATAGTGTCAATTCAGTTGATCAATTGTAGAATTGATGTTGGAAAATTTATGTATAGATAAAATGACTTTATAAATACACGTGTTGTCTGTTGAATTGCGAAATTTATGAGCCAAAGTCATTCATGCGCATCGTCTGCGCATGGGCAGTTCTACAATAGTCAGATATTTCGCAAGTCAGGAATTTCGCGTCACACCTGGGCGTCATGCTGACTCAGTACGGGGGTTCAAGGAAAAATGCTGGTCGAAAAAAGGTGTTTTCGAGCCGAAAAGAGTACAGAAATTTATGGGAGAAAGAGCACAGAAGGATCTATTTAAGTGATAAGACATTTGATACGTGGCAAGAGGCCAAAATAAGTGGTGGATATGAACATTCAAATGACACTAACTTTGCTGCACATCTGTTGTCATTGGAATTTCGCCGCAGGTAGGTTTACAATATGATTTTCAATATATTTCTAAGAGTAAACGAGCCTAATGTGCAATTTATTTTGTTTGTATTTAGGGGAATCAGCGTCTGCAAAAATACTACCAAAACAACGACGAAATTCAAGCACATCGATTCTGGACCTTTCTGGTGGCAACTGAGTCCTGTCTTGACAACGGAAGTAGAACACAATGAGTCTCATATTGTTTGAAGAACAAGCAAACATCAGCCAAGGTATGAAGAGGACATTCACTTTTATATAGGATGTGCTTTGTAATGGGAGTAATATTAATATTCAGTTTCAAAATAAGATTTTGCAAGGTATATAGACAGAAAAATTGTGTCAAAAATTATAAAAAGAATTGGTTTATATTTGTATATTAATTTACAGCATTGACCACAAGTATTAGTGCTGTATAATATTTCATATTTCCTGCTTTCAGAACCCCAAACATCTACACCATTAAAAATAAAGGTCAGATGACAAACCCTTTCTCGTGTTGAGTCACCTGTACAAACTACAAAGTCATGAGCCTTTCCAACAACAGAAGGACCAGACAGTGGGATGTGAAAAGTGTGAAAGTTGAAAAAGGATTCGAGTGCATTCCAGTTCTCATTTCAAAGGTTATCCAACGAGCAACAGATTGACTGCATGATGATGGTTATGTCACCTGCCATGTTTCCTTAAATGCAACATTGCTCCCCACTGTTGCACATATATCACACCAGCAACATATATCACACCAGCAATGGTGTGAACATACCAAAACGAAAATACTGATTTTTGCCATAACTGATGTAACAGTGACACATTCCAATTTTGTACACAATATAAAAAATCTTTATTACTTACTATATACATAGGTACATAAATTAGAATATAAATTATTAAAATCAAATTCCCTTTGCTTTAGAAAGTTTACCAAAGGTTCATGAATATTATTGTTCTCTGTACCACATATAAACTTCAGTCAAAAGTCTTATTTTGAGGACTACACAAGAGGGGCAAACACTGCGATTCCCTTTGCCCAAATATCCGTGCCGAGCCCATGTGTGAACATAATCCGTAGTCCTTATTCCTCTTCCTTAGGCTTCTAATTGCCAGTTTTCTCACTGTGTCTTCATCCAGTGTATGAATAAATGCCTGTGAATTTAATAATGTATTTTATAATAAAATAATGAAATGACTATCCAACAGCTTTACCAATTTCTAGCATCAAAGCAAGATAATTGGTCTTGTATGGGTTTAAGTCATGCTATTTTTTCCATCACAAAGCCTCGCTTTGATATCAAAGCAAAGCTTTTGGTGAGAACAACAAAATGGCCTGATACACGGTTCACATGCACAAGCCCCATATGCATTGCAATTAGCTTCAATTAGAAGGTTAAGGGGTTGGTTATTTTTATTTACTAAATAGCTATTATACAAAATGTTAGGATATTTCACTTATATAAATATATAATTTGGCTAATATTCAGGCCATCTGAAATAGGAAAAATCAGATCAGCAACAATTTGCCATCAGCAAACAGGTCTACAGCATGTTAATCTGCCGCCCTGACATGATGTCCTGACAGGTCGGCAATCTGCCTTTGCGAAATTATTTCCCGTTTCAAATTTCAGTCTGTGCCATCACTTCCCAATTAGACTTTATACTGTATCACCCAGGGATGAAACTTGAGGGGGGGGGCAAAAGTACAAATCATCTGGATTGGCAGGGCAATGAAAAAATTTAAATGATATAATGTAGAGTTATTCAGTGGCTTCCAGAGGGAATTGAATAGAATTTATAGACCTAAATTTTACAGATATTGGTAAAAAAATAAGGGTTTCATGCATGTTTTAACAGGAATTTGTCCGAAAAAATATTTTGTTGCATAATTGAATTGGTTTATGTCCGAAAAATGTTTTCGCCCCTTTTTTTGAATGTCCGGAAACCGACCTCCCCCCCAAATTTTTCTACCTCCCCCCACTCGCCAACATTTTTGGGAGAAATAGCGGCCAAAAAAATTTTTGCTGGAGGGCATCATCGACTTTCGCAGGGAAATTCTAGCAGACACCACCCAATTAAAAGGGGGCTAGTTTTGCCCCTGGTATCACCATTCAACAGTTTCAGCCAAAGTTATTCAACTTAAAGATGCAGTACAGTCAGATCTGTGCATCTGCTCACAGGAGGCCTCTTTTTATTATACAAACAGTTTATTTAGGGTTTTATTTCATTTTATATTCCTGCAAAGATTGATCGTTGTGTCTTGATAATTTATTATACTCTAGAATCATGAAAATATAAATAGTCGTCCAATAAAATTCAGTATTTTGGATACTGAAATGTAAACAAAGCCTTTGTTTACATACGGACTGTACCGCATCTTCAAACATGTTTAATATACCTCATTTTAAAAACGTTTTAAACAATTTAATAAGATGTAGGCCTATTAGAAATTCACAAACCTTACAGTATCATCGTTTTCTCAGTATTGACAGTTGGACGCTGTGTGAGGCCACGAAGTACATGCACTACATGGTACTTTCGCAAACGTTCTCCTACAACAAAGTAGGATAAACAGTAAATATAATGTGGTATAATATGCAAACACAAATAAAAGATACCGTCAAGTACATTTGATTCGCACACATACCCTATTCTTGCAAGGAGACTGAGGAGTTTTGCGAGTTCTCCACACTTGCAGCTGGCAGAATGCACAACGTTCTTTAATATTTGCCTTACGCGGGCAACCTCGGTTACTGTTCTCGTTTCTTTTGGTCGCACATGAACTTTTACAACTATAATTGTTAACCTGTGTGAAATGAAGCAATTATTTGGTCTTTTCCGCCGCCGAAAATGTGAATATATGCACATTTTTATAGTCGGAATGTTGTGATTCCGACCTTTTCCGACATATTCCGAAAATCGGTTTGTTATGCGCAGAAAGGATGCGCAGCGGGTGACACTGCCGCTTTAATCAGTTTCAGCTTCGAGGATGTAACGTGCCCCCCCCCCCCCATTTTCTCTACGGATTTAGCCTTTTTCAGAGAATGGTTTTTTTGCGATTGGGGGGCGGTCGCCCCCCTCTCCCCCCCCCCCCCCCTTGGCTACGCCACTGCATGTACATGATGTTATAGTTTGTCTTGAGACAACAGATATATTTTCATTTCCGTTTTGGAATTCTTTTTTGTACATGAATCTTCTTTTTTTTTTGGTATTCCATTCCATATTTCTGTTCCCGTATGTTTTATAGAAAATTTTCCATAATTTGTTCTATTGCCTTTTTTATGGATCAAATTTGTACTTCGTGTTATGCTTGTGAATTTTGCTATCAAGTTCAACATCTCAAAAGGAAAAGATCTGAGGTTTAAGAGTAAAATTAATACGAGATCGAGGTTGAAAAATATCGCCGAAATAGGCACAGAAAAAAGAATTTGCCAAACGATCATGAATAAGCACTCACCTCATAACAAGACGACAGACGTTGCACGGGAAGAGAATGCTTTGCTCGAAATGTGCTCACCCCTTCGATCGATATGAAGTGCATTTTCTCGGCAATCATTGCAGCGATTTTGCTCATTTCTTTCACAAATATCGTGAAAACAAAGCTCGTCAAAATTACGTTGTTTAAACTGCGATTTGCAGTTCGTAAACAAATGAAAATTAGCGAAATCTGCTACCCCGTAGAATCGTCGCCTTTAGATGGGAGCATGTGTGCTGCTTGGTTTGATTTATGTTGCAGGGGGCAAATCACATAAGTGCTTAAAGATGTAACAGTAATTTGGTTATAGCTTCTCTACTCTATAGTGTTATAATCTATAGCGTTATAAACAATTAGTAATAATCTATAGAGTTATAAACATAGATTAGAGTTATAATCTATAGAGTTATAAACAATTAGTTGGCCGAACATAAAACGTTATATAGAAAACATGCATCATTTGAAAGCTTCCCCAAATTGTTTACTCTATCGATTGATCCATTGATCGATCACTCAATTGAATTTTCGTACTCGACTATAGCGCAAAGCAACTTTGCACTAAAAATGAATTTGACAATTTTCAAACATTTATGCTGGCAGAACATGGCAAAGATGCAGAACATATCTTTCAAGCACTCCCTCCGGATTGTTTACTCTATATCTGTTGCATTTTGACAAAGGAAATGATGTAATGATTTGCAGTTTCATAACAATAGTGCAAAGCAACTTTGCACTGAAAAATATTAGTACAGTACTTACAGTCCGATAGCTGCCCATATCGCAAGCGCTACCCTGAGTAACACCTCTGATCCTTCGAGCAAGATGCAATCCCACACTCTGAGTACAAGCTGTTCAGGCAGACATGTTGCAAATAATGTCAGAAACCATTGCATTGTAAATACATTCGTCAGCGGAGGTTCATGCGAATTTGAATCCGTGTTATTGTGAGCAGTGGCTTGTCTTTGAAGGTTCTGAAGATGGTCGGAGAGGTCAGGCAGTTTGATCTTCATTAGCTCACGAAGAACGGCCATATCTACCGACAGACTGCGGAGGTTGTTGGAGAAATAGTTCGCCGGTAGCACGAAGTCAACCAAATATACCATCACCTTAACAAATTGAAATTAAAAATAACTTAACAGATGCATGCTTCAACGATAGTAGTCCACTGACACATTTAAACATATTTTATGATGAGAATGAGTTTGCCCCAAGAGTGTACACACTCATCAAGGGGGCTTACCCGTTACAAATTTAAAAACACACTGTCAGGCACACACGGTTTTTAATATGTGAAAACTAACACGATAGGTGTCAAGAATTGTTAGAATGAAAACGTGCTGTCTCTTTAATATAAGTTTCAACATAAGAGAATATTGCCATGTTATATTCCAACGACAGCATTAGAGAAACAAAGAAAAATATTTCCATAATTTGTTCATCCGTCAATCTTGACCACCCTTCGGGAAGATTCTCGGCAGCGGAGGAGAACAGCTTAGACCTTTGGGCAGCAAATACTGGACAGTAGAGGAAATAATGTTTTATAGATTCAGTGTGATAACCACGCCTGCATGATGGAGACATTTTACAACCTATGCTATACAAATATAAATTTAGTGCACATACACCTGAACGCAAACGAGTATGGAAGATAGAAGAATGCCTATCATTTGCAAAATTTAATTTGAATAACCTTTACCATTTTCTTGCGATTATTGTTTCAATTAGTGGGTTGGTTTGACGAGGTCAGTTGTTCTGGGTCCACACTTTGTTGAAAGAAATCTCGACACGAGACAGTACCTCCAATTGATTGGTACAAGTCTATGTGCGATTCAAATAACTCCGGTTGTGAAGCACAATTTGAAAGAGCTACGTGAAGCGATTGTTATACAGCATGCCGCAACTTGAAACAGCAAATGATCCAAAATTCTTTCGATTGTATGATTTCACGGGCAAGACGTGCTGGGGGACATGCATTTACTGATGAATATAGACAATAGTTTTTGAACCACAAGCACGAACGTACTGACAATAAAGTATAATGCGTCTTAACACAAATTATTGCATGTTGTACGTATGTATTAATATTTAACAAGCCATTTTTAGCTAATTTAGTCAGTTCCAAAAATGTTTACACCTGTTTAAATGCATGTATCTTTTTCAATAAGACATCGAAATGGGCATGGCGCATATCAAAATTTAAGTTGGATATCTCTGAATGCCAATAAACTTGTTTTAGAGGCATTGCTCTTTTAGTTTTGATTTTTCAGCAATTCAAACAGTCGTACTTTTTTGCCCCACCTGTACTTTGTAGAGTGTTCTTGAAGTGTGTAATTGAATCTATAGAACGTATCTCATTGCTCAGATTGTTCCACAATATTGTCGTGGAAGAAAAAAGGATTTCCTAAACCGTTCTGTTCGACATGCGAAGAGTGAGTAATCTATACAATTCCCTAATTTATGTTGTGTCCTTTGACAAACTTGAAAAGGAAGTAAATCACTTAGGGACCGGTCATTATTTATGGTGGGGGTGGCACCGAAGAGAAAAGGGTTGGGTAAACTAAATTTTGAGTAAGTGAAAGGTTGGGTAAATGAAAAACAAAACAACTCAATGGTTGGGTAATAAAAAATTATTGTCATTTCCAAAGCATGACTCACTGAAGTATTGGGGACTAAAAAGCAATGGGAACAGTAGGCCCTACTCTGGGGCGATAACGAGATAATGCGAGTTTAAGCAATTTTAGGTGATTTAAGCAAAATATGCAATATAAGCAATGCGAGTTTGAGCGATATAGGGCAATGTAAGAAAACAACTAAAATTTTAGGGAATGCTGTTTTATTAGTTGTTTAGAGGTAATTTCAGGAATATACAACTAAATCCCTGATGACTCCAATGAAATTACCATTAACCTATGCCAAGCATCCAAACATGAGTGTACCCACAAACACACACACATGCAGCACTGTATGAAGAAAAATATACAATTTAACAAAAAAAGTTGAAGTCTGCTTGAGGGGGTTCTGGAAACAAATAATACACTGTATGTGCATGACGATTAAGTGTTTAAAGGGTAAATAAGCTCAATATTCATGACTTTTTCCATCCATTGTCTATTTCGAAGCCATTGGGGTTATTAAATTCATGACACAATTATAATACATGACCACATGTTCACATCATATGCAATTGCAAACAAAGGGTACAAAATTGCAATATAACAACATATAAGTAAATTATACATGTCATGAACTTACCAGTTTGTGTTGAGTTAAATTTAAAAATTTTTATGACATCAAATATTATTTATTTATTTGCAAATCAATTGCAAATATGATATACATTTTTAATACATTACATTTGCGCTCAAAAGTTCAGGAAGTGAGTTTCTAGAAAGGATGAAAACTCCGTTTTATATATGGTATGTAAAAGGTAATCGTTGTTTACTGTTTATTTTGTATTCAGGTATGGGGAATTTAAGCGATGACCACTTTCCACCCACAGCAAAGTTTATATTTAGTATCCAATCAAAATGTCGCAGGAGAAATTTAAATTTCACACAACGACAACAACAATCTAATTATAGCATAGCAGCCCACTAAACGGCTGAATTTAAATTAAAACTGCAATGAACTTATAAAATTAACAAAAATAATCACAAATTAGCGAAATATATTGCAAATGTAGCTTATATTAAATCGCCACCCGATCGCTTTCAGTCAAAATGAGCTTTATATGGCGCTTACCGTATTTATCAACAAACTGACATATAATTATAAAGTATATATATATAATCATAAAGTATATATATATAATTATAAAGTATATATATATAATTATAAAGTATATATATATAATTATAAAGTATATATATATATATATATATATATACACTGTTAATTTGAAGGTGTTAAAATAACACCAAAAATGGTGTCAAATAAAAAGGTACAAAATAACACCTTTTTGGGTGCTATTTTAACACCACTTTGTAGGGTGTCAAATTAGCACCTGCAAAGGTGTTAAAATAACTCCATTTTTAGTGTCATAATAGCACCCTTTTCGGTGTTGTTTTAGCACTCTAACCTTAGTGTTAAAATAACACTCAATTTTAGTGTTATTTTAGCATTACCGAATATTAAAAATGTATATCCCTTCTATCCAACACACAAAACAATTAATAAAATAATCTGTTGAAAAATTTATTTACATTATGCGTTACAGCATTACTTATCTATGTCATATATGAAGTTTATAGTAAATTCAGAGTTATTACACCTAAGGTTTACACTATATAGAAACATTTACAGAAATAGACCATGATTGTGACGCCATAACTCTCCTCGTACTACACTCTAGTCATTACAGATAAGGACAATACCGTAAACTTCCAACTATAAGCCCTGGGCTTACATTCTTTCGTAAGCGATTTTTGATGGGCTTATATAGGGGGGGACTTATATACAGGGGGGACTTATATACAGGGGGGGACTTATATACAGGGGGTGTATACATTGACAATCTTTTGTGTTTGTTTAATAGTAATAAACAAGTATAGTAATAGTGATAAACAAGTGTTAAACAAGCATAGTAATAATAATGATAAATAGTTGTAATAGTGATAAACAAGTGGGCTTATTTATATTTGGGTGGGCTTATTTATATTTGGGTGGGCTTATATTCAGGAGGGGCTTATATTTGGAATGAGGTGAGCGTTAGTATATGTGGTGGGCTTATACGTGGGGGGGGGGGGCTTATACATGGGGGGCTTATATTTGGAGATTTATGGTATATCCTGCATGTACAATACATGCATTACATTAATGATATAATATCATCATTATCATTAATTGTGCATTATCATAAACTGCAGGTTGTTGGCTATATGGCACAATTTGAATTTTTCACAAACATTCCCTCTGCAATCAATGAAATCAAACTTATCTCTTCCAGAGGTCCAGTACCAATAGACAAGGGGTTGAGATCCTGATAAAAGGGGTTGAGCATCCTCTACACAAAAAGATTTAAACATAGAATAAATTTCTGTACAGTATACATACACATAGATAGATTAAGTTCTTTCAATTAAGTATCTTAATCTATGTTAATTGTTTAATCTATGTCCATAATATAAACACACAGATACTAAACAATTGTTTCTTCAAAACCTGTAATCACTGTAATCGATCATACAGCAAAGTAGACTGTTCACTAGCTACAGTTGCAAACAGTAGATTGTTTAACTACCTGAAAAAATAAGAATTTACTTGAATGATTTTCTTATTTTTCAATCAGTAAATACTAATTAAACAACCTACTTTTGAAAATACTTCTCACAATTACATACTTTGATTCAATTGGATCATTTCAATACAGTTTATATCCGTCACAATCCAAATGACGTCAATTATTGATCATTTATTGGCATTAATTGTCAAATTGCCACAAGATAACAGAGATAAGTTCACATAAAACTCACCCACTTATAATGTTGATTCGATGTTGTTGTGGCAACATGAATATGCACGTGGCCCCTTAAACAGTTTCTTTATGCATAAAATTGTGAGCCTGGAAATTCTCGAGAAGCATATAAACAATAGTATGAGGGACTCAAACATGTATCCTCAATTTTTCTGTGTTGGTGTTGTGTACTCAGGTGAATAATATGTTTACTCAGGTGAATAATATGTGGGCTAGTATTCCAAAAGGTTGTAGGTTCGAATCCCACCGTGGCCGGGCATATTTTTCAAGCTCGCCCGGTGTGGATATGCACTCAGAGTAACATCGCAAACATATGTATCCTCAATATATTCAGGGAATTTAGGAACATTCTACCTGGGTTGTCTGGATATTAAATAGAAATACAGCTATTTACTATGATAGCACAATATAGATAACACAAAGTAAGGATTGTTCTGCTCTTAGGCCCCATTTACATGAAACCGGGACAAAGTCAAACTGGAAGGAAAATTGAAATTGTCAACATGTTTACATGAGATCAGTACAAAAATCACAAAATTTTCAATTTATTCCCCTTGCTAGGCAATTTTCTTGTTCAGATGGCTTTTGTTAGCATATGTTGTTCCAATGTCAAGGTTACAGCCAAGACCGGTCTGAACTGTATTTGTGTTTACATTCATGCCGGTCTGAATTCATGCCAGTCTAAAGTCAATCGGCTTGATCCAGCAGGCAGAATGACTTGAGACTGGTCTGTCAAGTTATTTTCATCCCGGTCGCTTGTAAACATCTATTATAGATCATACTATAAGCAAAACAAAATGGTCCCGGTTTGACTTTGTTGTGGTCTCATGTAAACAGGGCCTAATACAAAGCCATAGAACTTGCTTTGGAGATTATATCAATAATATTGAGTCAACATTGATATCCTCTCAATAGATCAATACATTAACAAATATAAATGTTTATATTGTTAACTTTAATGTATTGATCACTATTGAAAGGATATCAATATTAACTCATTTAGCTAATATTTATCTAATCGCCTATATTATTGTATATTTCATACCTTCTTGTAGCCTGTATATATCATGATTTCGACAGTTCGACTTGCTTAGAACACATACTATGACAGTATTTATTGCTTGAAATTATAACCTGTCAATACAAAGCAATATCACTAAGTTTTAATGTATTTTAATAACAATATATTGTTGAACCAAATACAAAATATAATGCGGTCAACAGCAATGGCGGTTAAAATATACATGAATATATTACTATTTATGGAACATATTTACAAACGAAACTTAAAAATATTGACATAGTTGAGCACTTACATTTACAATTATTGTCTGAATCTTCAAACAATGGAGTATTTCTTCTTATTTTCTACTATAATTTAAGAAATCTTGGCTTTATCAACCGACGTTAAATTAAAATTTCCAAACGACGCGCTAGAAATGTGCTCTCGCTAAGCCTTCTGGGAGGCCCTTCTGAAGGCACTGATCTCAATCATGTGAGCAATCCAGTGCAAATAAACCTGCATTTCTAAGGTTTTTTTGACAGCGACTCTTAACTTTAAAATTCTAGCTGTCTCGTTATATCTCCCTTGCATGAACATATTTTGTCATCACCACACAATTTCTTTTCACTGCATATTTTTACTGTTTACACTGCACACTTTCCTGACATCACTAACACCAAAATGACAGATTGCTTAGATTATTTTTCATTAGTTTTTCAATGAGGCCCTACAAGGATTACATTAAATGCGATAATATGTAAAAATATGATCCTTTGCCCCATTTACTTGTCTGAAAAACGTAAACCGCTCCTACGTGGTCCGCCACTTTGAATCTGAAAACCGGTTCACGAGGTGCTATTTTGACACCCTAAGTTTAACTCTCAAAACGGTGCTACTTTAACACTTTCACTCAATAGAATGGGTGTTATTTTAACACCCTAGAAAAGTGTTAAATATCTATGGTGCTAATTTAGCACCTCAAAATCAATTCCCAAAATCATGGTGTTAACTCAGCACCCAAATTGGTGTTAGATTAACACTTTTTATTTAACACCACCACACGGTGTCATTTTAACACCTACGAAGGTGCTATTTTAACACCTTCAAATTAACAGTGTATATATATATATATATATATATATATATATATATATATATATATATATATATATATATATATATATATATATATATATATATATATATATATATATATATATATATATATATATATATATATAGCTACATTTGCAATATATTTCGCTAATTTGCGATTAACATGCGCCACGGTAAAGAATTGTATCAGGCCCTCCTTCATTCGCCGCCGCCAATTAATCCTGGCGAATGAAAACATAAGGGCCTGATACTCAGGTTACAAAAGTTGCAAATGTAGTCTGACTAGTTTCTTTGACGTCATCATGCAACTATTTAATATTGTGCCACATTCATTATTCAATTTATTCGCAGAAATTAGCCTTCTATAAGCTATACAAATGATTATAGCTTATAGCCCACCTTGCCTTTAACATTGATCCTATATATAATGAATTAACATAACTAACTTGATTATGTTGCTAGTCGAGTATGGGACCTATGGATCTTCTAGATCCTAGAGTAGCACAATTAATATAAAGTCTCCGTAAGGCGGTAATATTAAACACTGTTCTTATTTATGCATGACCTTTGACTATTAAGTGGCCAAAAATTGTGCCTACAGTAGTCAACTTATTCCACTATCCAGGTTGCATCACTTTTGATTGCAAAACACCTGGGTTTATTATATGGATTTGCTAGCAAAATAGCAGCAATTGATGAATTTGGTGTTATACTAAGATTTACTAAATGTGTAAAGAAACAACGAAAAGTATATATCAATCAGAGTCATTATCTTGATCAATTTCTGATGGGATCTCCAAAGAAAGTAGCTACATGTGCAGACAACATGAAACTTCAGACTGCAGAAAATCTCACAATCCGTTATCAAACTCATGTCACAGAAGTGGTAAAGGACATATGTGACAACTGAATGGTACCTTTTGTAAATTTTTTGGCCAGGGGTGGGTATTTATTTTTTAATTGATATTTGAGGTTGGGTAATCATTTTTTTTTACTTTTTAATGGTTGGGTCAGCAAAATTTTTGCTAGGAAAAACATTTCTCTTTGGTGCCACCCCGCCATAAATAATGACCGGTCCCTTAAGTAACTAGGACTACAATTGTTTACAATTTTATAATATAAAGTACGTTTGTGAATTTTCCTTCTAGTTGACATACTTTCCCATCCTACTTCTTCCATGAGACGATGCTTGCTTGTTCCTTTCATAGCCCCTGTGACGAGTTTCACTGCCTTATACTGAACATGTTCAAGATAATCGCTTTCACTTTCAGTTTCACTTTCAGTGCAACCGTCCCACAATACGTCTGCATATTCCATGACAGGACGAATAAGTGATTTATATAACTATCTCTGCTAATTTTATATTGACACATAGTTTCCACTGACACACGAGGTAGAGTTAAATGCAAAGGCATTATATAAAGACATATAATGGGTGGTGCGAGGAATTCCAAAACTTGGGAGAGTGCCAAAGTCCCCAGGGAGAGTACTGTGGTTTTTTTATTTGCGTTTCTGAAACGAGATTTCCAGCATTTTGACGATACTTAATCTTATAACATAGCCTTCTCCGCAGGCATTTCAACCTGGGAATCGGGTGGTCGGAAAAAGTTTGGTGAGATGCCTGCGATAAATTGACAGAAAAATGTGCACTGCGCATACCAGCCCGCGCATGCTAATTTTAGCAAATTTGGACAAAATCTGACTTAGGGGGAGTAGGAAGGGATTACTGCAAGAAGTGAAGACATTTTTGTTTTGACCATGACTTGAAACATGAGTAAAACTGTTAAATTCATGAATAACCCTGCTCCTTAGCATTGTAAATCCGCAGGGAACTTTGAATAAGAAGCTGAGAATCATCAATTCATGTTGTTGTTGATTCATGTCAAGACAAGGTCAGAAATTTAAAGAATATATATCTCCAGGGCTGCAAAAAATATTTCACTTTCTGGGACCGCAATGCCAACGAAACAATTTTCTGCAAGTAAACAACTGGCAATCTTATGTTTTTCTGAATTTGATCTCACAGATATTTGTTGGTCTTTGTTTGAATAGTGTGGCAGTCTAGGCTGGTAATAGAACGCCCACTGTAACAAAATCCAGACTAAGCTCTATTAAAGTATATTAACTAGAAATATACGCATGCAACAACCCCTTGCCCATGCACATTTTCCAAAATTGTTTCAACATGAAGTATTTTCATAACGCCAACGCGGAACGCACGCTCAGTACGTTGCTCCCGTCGTGTTAACCTTGTAAACACGGTAATTGTTTTGCTAGTTTTTGTTCAAAATGGCAAAAATAAATTAACGTTTTACACTTATAACGACAAAACTATCGATTTCTAACATATATAAAGTAGGAAAGTTATTTTCCTTTGTATGGGCTTTATTATAATGCAAAATTCAACACGAAACACTTTGTAAAACGTTTTTAAATGTCGTTAAAATTAACTGCTTTTTGCGGATTAACTTTCACAAAGAATGAAAAGGAAAGCTGCCCATGTTCAAGGCCATCAGGCCTCAAAATTTCCATGTAAACATACAAACAGTCACTGAGGAAACTTCTCAGTGACAGCTAGTGTTTTGCTATAGACCCATTGCACATGACGTCACAGCGCCGGTGAGGATGCATCTGGAGGACAAATTAGCAATCTATGCATAATATAACTTTTGTAAACAAAGCAAATTTTGTAAAACTTTATAATAATTTTGTATTAAAATGGTTAATCTTTGCGCTGTATGTGGTTGTTGTACCCGAACAGATATTAGCGAGCTTAAGCAAGCGACGTTTTTGACAACACAAACGGCATGAGTAACATTAAAAGACTGGGTCAAGAATGTTGATTGGTTGATAACGTCAAATTTGCTTCCGGTCAACGTTCGTGTTGTCAAAAACGTAGCTTGCTTAAGCCCGCTATTGATAGGGAGCATCTGGAGGACACTCTAAGGATTTGTTACGTCAGTGCAATGGGTCTATTGTTATATTACACAGCAACCGCCCTGTCTCTATATTGAATTTCTAAAAGCCTTTCAATGGTGGTGGCTATATAACTGTAAGCTGACAGGTTTACAACCTTTGGAATACTAGCCCAATGCTCTGCCAACTGAGCTATGCGATCAGGTCGGTTTGAGTATGTGATATTTCGGAACTGAGACTAGTTCCTTCGATATCAATGCAATGGGCTAGTATCGGCCTCGTCTCCAGGCGCTTTGGTTTGCTGCACTGTTTCGTGAGAAATGAAAATTTGGGCGGGAAGCGCCTTGCAGAATTTGTATTCAAGATGGCGGATAACTGTTTCGCAACAAAAAAATAAGGATTTCAACAAAAATCTTGACGACGATGTGCCTATAATAACCTCTGGACTGGAATGGCCAGTCCATATAATATTTCTAGAGCTGAAAAGGAGTTGTAGTTTTACCCAAATTGTGTAAATTAATATTATGGCTCAAAACTCGCAAAATACAACACATATCTGCTTCTATCTTCTCAACTAGTGGGGCTATGAAAATTATTCACGTACATTTAAATCGCCTGATTACAACGATTCCAAACATATATAAATGATCTAGGTTTCATTAATTTTAAAAAATACAGAGCTAAACTTCTCTGTTATGGCTTGACCCAAACTATATCCAATTATAAATAGTTGTGACTCAAAATATAAACACTATAAATTTGCTTCTAATACAGCTATGACTATGTGAATGATTTGAATAGATTTAAAATCGCTAGATTACAACGATTCTAAATATATATAAATTATCTAGGTTTAATTAATTTTAAAAAAATACAGAGCTAAACTTTAAACCCTCTGTTATGGCTTTGAGCTAAAATTATATCCAATTAATAGTTGTAGTACAGCTATATGGGAATGATTTGTATAGATTTAAAATCGCTAGATTACAACGATTCCAAACATATATATAAATGATTAAATGATTCTGATTTCATCAAGTTATAAAGCAAATATAGATGAAATTTAATACCCTCTTTCATGGCGTGACCCAAATTATATCCATTAACTCAAGATGTAAATACTTACTGTATCTGCTTCTATCTTTTCAAGTACATGAGCTATGAAAATAATTCGACTAGATTTAGAGTCGCTAGATTACAACGATTCCAAATATATAGAAATGACCTAGGTTTCATCAAGTTTTAAATATTATACTGGAATTTGCTCTCTAGGTATGTCTTCTCTGACATTATCCTGCTCGACGGCCTTCTCTGTAAGGCCCTGACATATCGTTTTGGAATTCTCAAACTCCATGGCACACATATCCGAGAGAATGGGTATGCCAAGACTCCCAAAAGTGTTGGCAACGCAAGTAGCTTACGATCTTGCAAGGAAAGATTTCGGCCGGCCGTGACTGCAGGAAGCAGTTCAGTGTTGATGATGTTGTCAATCTGCTGCAGTTGATGTTGAATATCTGGAATCGTGCGGATATGGTAGGTAAATCTGTGACGGAATCCGGACAAGAAGGCAGTGTAGGCTGCTTGAGGCTCATACTTCGCATGTCACTCAGTACACGGAGTTGGTTGGACCAACGTTCGAGGAGGGACCGTATGTACTCATTCTTTCCTTGCTCAGAACCGAAGTAACCACCAAGATACTTGTGGCCGTCTGTGGATATGCGCACATCTGCTCCAGCGAAAATTTCTTCAGCTGCTACAAGGAGATCGGGTTTGACTATCAGCCAGGACTTGTCTGCTCGCGGGTAGTAACCCAGAAGAGGGCCGTGAGAGACGATGTTATCCCACCGCGAACGCAGCTGAACAAGTCGTCCAGCACCACTGAGTTCGTCTGCGAAGGCAATGTGTCTTACTTCGTGGGCCACATTGATCATTTGCAGTAGAGGAGTAATTGAGACGGCGTAATTCAGGGGCATCGCTATTGGGTCGCCTTGTGTTGTCCCCTCAGCTGATGCAATTTCTTTTCCTCCTTGTACAAACAAGCGCGATGGAGTAGTATAGCAGTTCTGTATATAGACGGCCAAGGCAGGACAGATGTATTGGATGTTGTGCAGTATAACTTTGCGATTGATGGAGTTAAACGCACTTTTTTTTAAATTTTTTATTTATTTTTTGGTTCAATACAATTGGCAACATCAGCAACTGGGCTGTCTTAGAATTCATGAAAGACCTTTGCTATAACCCAAAGAAAACGTACCTTGTAACAGGAGATCAAATTTTCTCCTTCATTAACGTTGTCTCAAATTCCATGGAACTTAGCATTTCTTGAAGAGAATATTGATGAGAATTGGAATTCATGGAAAGATCTGGTTTTTTGCAGCAGTAGATGAATGCATCCCGAAAACAAAAGGGAAAAAAAGACAAAATGCGCCGTGGATTAATAAAGAGCTAATATCTCTATGTAGGAAGAAGCTACTTTATAAAAAAGCAAAACGAAGCCAAAATGAAAGTGCAATGAAGCTCGGTGGAGGTATATAACCGATTTAGCTCAAGATTTGACAGACAACAACAATCCCAAACCACTTTGGAACTTTGTGAAATCCAAGTGTAAAGGAACAAATAAATTGATATCCCTGAAAGTTGGAGAATCTGTTTTCACTGACGACCAAGGTATTGCAGATAGCATGAACTCGTATTTTTCTTGTTTTTACAGTTGAAAATTATGATAATATCCCAGTGCTTGACTATATTGTGGACGAGAGATTAGAGAACATCCGTTGTTCTGTTGACGAAGTAGGAAAGCTTCTTCTAAATCTTAAGGTAGAGAAGTCCCTGACAATATCCCTGCACGTATTCTAAAGGTATGTGCAACAGAGCTGGCACCTTCAATCTCACTTTTGCTAAATAAGTCATTCTCGATGGGCATGCTAGCTATAGAGTGGAAAACTGCCAACATTACACCGATTTTTAAAAAAGGTTCGAAGAATAATAGAGAAAACTATCGTCAGATATCTCTTACAGGGATTATATGCAAAATAGGGGAGAAAGTTGTTCGAAGTAGAGTTCTCGATTTCTAGTATAGAATGAATATTCTGAGTGAGAATCAGTTTGCCTATTTGAAAGGCAAGTCAACAGTAACACAACTACTATCAACTGTTGATGATTGGGTGAGATCTAGGAACTCCGGCGTGCCCACTGATGTTATATTTCTTGACCTCGCAAAGGCGTTCGATAGTGTGCCGCACGAAAGATTGATTTTGAAGTTAAGAAGTTATGGTATCGAAGGGAGTTTATTGACATGGTTTAGGCATTTCATTATAGGCAGAAAGCAACGTGTTGTAATTAGAGGGACTTTTTGATATAACGGACTGTATTTTATCTAAAGCCAAACTGTATGCCGATGACACTAAAATTTATAGAGAAATAAAAGATCCTGTCTTGGACACGCATATTTTGCAAAACGACTTAAACAGTCTCGATGAATGGGCACACACATGGCAATTAAAATTTAACGTGGAAAAGTGCGAAACTATGCGGTTAACCCACTCCAATGATATGCTAAAATCAAGTTATACTTTAGGAACATCAATCTTGAGAGATACAGAAAGCTTTAAAGATCTTGGAGTCACTGTTTCGCGTGACCTAACATGGAGTAAACATGTTTGTATCACAGTTAATAAAGCAAACAAAATTCTAGGAACTATTAAACGATCAGTTGGTACAGCAAACACGAAGGTTTTCTCGATGTTATATATTGCTCTTGTTAGACCCATCCTTGAATATGCTGCACCTGTTTGGAACCCATATCTTGTTAAGGACATTCATGCAATTGAAAAAGTACAAAGACGAGCATCCAGGCTTGCTTTGCGTCAAAAGAGAGGTGAGATGTCGTACGAAGAAAGATGCCAGATCCCGGGGTGGACAACACTTTCCTTACGGAGGGATTATTTATCATTACTTGAATGTTACAAAATTGTCTTTGGGCTATGCAAGCTAAACTCGGACTTTTTCGAATGGTCTAGAGTAAAGTCAACTAGAGCAAATCACGCGTATAAACTATGTGTTAAGGCAAGTAGAGTGAACTGTTACAAATACTCCTTTTTTGTAAGGACAATCGGCTTGTGGAACGCTTTGCCAAAATATGTTTTAGAGGCTAATAACTTTTCAAAAGCCCTGAAGGACTATTTAAAGATCTAATTTATTCATATATTTGTAATTGTAATTTTAATTAGTAATTTTTAACAATTATTTTATTTTCGGAAGTTTAATATAGGGATAACCTCAAACTTTCCTTTCCTCTGTCACTGTAATTGCATGCTTCAGTTTCATTGTGAATAAACCTTTATTGTATTGTATCACCACACAAATGTTATTATACCATCGGCTACTACCCTTTCTACAAATAATACACCGATAGTTGAGCACTGAGATTGACATATCATACTGTGTTTTCAAATATTTTTGGCTTTGGTTAAATACCAACATCCTTAAATATTTTAAATACTTCAGCCTACATAATTTCCATAATAATTAACAATTATTCGTCGAAGGCGAGGTGATTATCGGTGAATAAAAACCGAGACGAAGTCGAGGTTTTTATTCACGATAATCACCGAGCCTGAGGTGAATAATTGTTTTAGTATTATTTCATAGGTGATTATTTGGAAACAAATTTTAAAATGCACATTTCTTCGTCATTTAATTGACAAAACGGCTTCGACCGCCATTTTGAAAATCGCTTAGGTGATTATCGCGTAATAATCACCTCAACGGCAACCAATCAGCGTGGAGAACTTTCAATAATCACCTATGTAATTATACTAATAGTCAATTATTCCACTTACTGAGAATATTATAATTACTTCTTTCCCACAAAAGTTGGACTAATATTGGGTGTTTTGATGAATCATACTTTTGTCAGTAACGTCACTCTGTAATTTATGTCAGTAATTTCTTAGGAAAATTAAACACCTATTCAGTCCTATCTACTATGCAGAGTTTCATTCGAATTGAGGAGATAGGTCTTAACAACGAGACTTAATGAAGAATACGGTTACACTGAATTTTATCAGTAAGTAAATTTCATTCTGTACATGCTAGACCCAAAAATCACCATATTACGCATGAATTATATATCATTTTCACTCGTCACAAAGGGAACATACCACATTGAACCAACATTCACATTGTTTCCAGACGAAATAATCAGCAGTGCAAACACATGTATAATTCATGAGGAACAAAATTGAATATTTATATTTAATTAAAAGGAATATTTATACATAGTTCCAAGACCAGCTAGCGGTCGAAACCAGCTTTCCAGGTTACGCTGCGAGTCTGACGAGAACATACCCGTAGTTTTGAACACAAAATGGCATGGGACTTGATCTAGTTGGCGATATATTGGCATTCACCAAGGCCTTGGCAATATCACACAATGTACAAAAATGTACCCGGGTTCTGCCTTCTCACCAGCACAATCGATCAAGTCATACACATTCATTACAGCATGCAATCTCTTTGTTATTTATGTCTCATTACAATTGGGATGTATATTTTCATTATAACTTGTTTATCAGCAGTATCATTACAACTTGTGCATCACCAGTATCATCACAAGTGCACAACTTGTATTTCACTGGCATCATCATCATTATTCTCACCATTCTAATTATTTATTAGTGAATCGCAATGAATAAAAAGTTTCCTTTCACACCACTCATATTACTTAATTGCCCAAGGTCAGGGCCATTTCACAGCACTGCAGGATCCGAATACCTGCAACCACCTTTTCGATCTAACATTGTTGCTCACAACCACAGTCCAATTATATGGAGCAAGAAAAGAATATCCAGCCACTTTTTATCATTCACTTAACCTTACCCTTGACAAAATTGACTGGTGTCGGACAGAGAAAAATAACAAAGTATGTCATATTTGATTAACCCATTAGTGTGTAAGACTCTTCCTTGGATGGGTAAAATTGGGGCTATGGAGATTTAGTGGCAAGAGGGGGGGGACATTTTCTCCAGTAAAATTTGTGGAGGCCATTGGAATTTTCTTAAATATCAAATTTATCAACCAGAGTATTGAGGCGATAAAGAAAAGAACTGACTGTAAAATTAATGACTGCAAAATTATGCAATCAAATTTTCTTGTTACAGAAAGCTAGGTACATGTAATTGTAAGGTTGGTATTTTCACACTTTTCTACTATCATCGCACTATTCTGTTAAGTTTTTATTACATGAGTCAGAGACCAATGGATTGGTATGAGGGCAGTTAATTTGTAATTTTTGCATGTATTCATTTGTTAACTTTTGACTACTGTAAACGGTCAGCCAGTTAAATAAGTATTTTACCGAGGGTACTGCCCGACGATTTTCCATGTCAAAGAGAACTCCAGTTATGAAAGATCGAATATTTTCTGAGCAAGCTGGAACAGAGGACTTTAGTGAAGGATGGGGATAACCAAAAAATATATCAGGCGAAAGATGGAGGAATTATTAGACGGAAAAATCTTTTACTTCAAATATACTGTACTGCATTCAAAATCCATGTTACTTCAAAGTTTATAATTTCCAACAAAATAAAAACCAGTTTAAAATCTGCTACCCATTGTTTTAAAATATAAATTTTAAAACACTTGGAATGTATTTTGAAAATTTAGTTCGCTCATTGCAATGTTCAGTTGTTCACCTCCTGGATGACATGACCTTAATAAGGCAACGTTACAAAAATGTCCAATATGTTTGGAGTCCATAGCCCGCGTGCAGGTCCAAGGGAACTGATAGTGGGCCTGCAAGCAAGGCCCGGTATTTTGTAAAACGCCCCTTTTCATAACACGCCCCATTCGCGCGTCAATTGTCAAAAAAGAACCAATGACAGCACCCAAATATTAACAAACAAACTCGCATTAAAATGTTGCGGGGTTTTCTCTGCTTATTCAGAACATAAACAATGTGTAAATGGCTGCGTTTTAACTCCAAAAAAGCAAGCAACGCAGTCAGTAATTGCCAAATTTGCAAGTGCTCATTTTCAACTAAAATCGGAACAGGCAAATTAGGACGAATTTCAACAGAAAACCAGTCTCAAACTTCAAATCGTGAGGGAAGTCGTGCGACCACATTAGCATTTATAATGTGTGCTTCGCTGTTGCCATTGTTATAAATAAATTGTCTCACTTATCAGATCATGTGTGCAATTCTTGTTGGCGGCGGAAAGTACGAAATTTATTTCAGTTATTTCATTTGGTAAAGAACTCTACAAAAGAAGAGAACGTTCAGAGAACAGATCGTTTCGTTTCAAACGGCAATTTAATACCGTCTTCTGTTTCGCTCTCTCAGCGAAGCCTTGTAAATCGCAAAGTGTTTCGAATAGGCTTACATGCAACTGCATCTCAACATCAACCAAAAGATAATTTTCTTGAGGAACATATAACGTATCAAGTCTGTTTGAAATTAATGAAACTCAAGTAAAGGTTACTATAGTTTACCCCAGTCGTAATGTTGCTATTCCAACACCTCACGACAAGCAATCCCCATTGGCATAACGGCAAAAACATCTCTTCCTTCAAGTAAACAATAAACAGTCTGTTCTTGTTCCATTTATAATCGAAAAAAGTGATCAATTTTCGAATTTTAAGCTTATCGAGAGCCTTTGTGATGAATCACTTATCTAATTATAGAATCTAACAGCAAACAGCCAATCAGAATGCCGCGTTCGTGGGCGAACGCGGAAAGTACAAAATACCGGGCCTTGCTTGCAGGCCCACTATCAAGTTCCCTTGAGCCTGCTCCCTTGGGCCTGCACGCGGGCTAGGAGTCCAGTGTTTACAAGGGCCTTTGCTTCCCATACCAGAGCCTCTGAACCGCGCAAAGGTCCCGGGTACGAGGTTGATATGCAAATACCAATCTCGTTCCCTGAGCCTGCGATCCTTGGGAAGGAAACGAAGGCTCTGGAATAATCCATGTCAGAAATGAATATGATTGGTTGCTGGTATGCAATGGAATGTTGCAATTTTGCAAAAATTAATTTTTAACCGTATATTTTTATATACAACATGGCGGCCGTTTAGGAGTGTACGAATATTGTTTTGGTTTTTCAGAGCTGTGTTATATACTAATACTACAAAGGAAATGCAAAGAAACGTATACTTAATGCGTATAATACCACAACAGTTAAATGGAGCGTGAAAACTTTACTCATATTTGTGTTGTACAGGTTTTCTGTAGTTTTAATCTATACATAGTATACAGTACTGTCAGTACATTGTACTATTTGACTATAATATCAAATATGTGCTATATTTTGCAAATACTATTTGTGTCAGAAATGGTTAATAACTTTTATTAATTTGTCTTCGTGTTATTTAAATGCGAAGAATTAGCTAATGACTACTTAACGAAGAACTAGGCTAGCTAATGACTAGTTTCAATAAATCCAATCTTGGCATTTACTGTTATATGTTTTATTATTTAATGTATATACTGTACTGCAAACTTTTCAAGTGCAGGAGTATGTAATACTCATTTTAACTTGTAGCACGTAACCCTTCCCTATATGGGTGCATATGAATCTTTTGCTGTTATAATTTATTTATAGAAGAGCTCAAAAAACTTTATTCTCTAAATAAACCACAATTTCACAGGCAGTGATATTAACTTGTATTCCAGTCTGCATACACCTAATACATATAATGAATTCTTGGGTTTCACTATGGCATTTTGCACGTTCAGACGAGGGGTCAACCTAAAATGTATTGATGCTTATGCTGTACTGGAGTGAGCAAATGATATGAAATTGCATGTATTTGCCACCAAACACAAGGCCAACACATACAGTGAAAAATTAATTCACTCTGATGACTGTGTCTCGATTTAGAGTTCACCCCCCGTCAAATTTATGACGTCATATGAAACACAATAATATACAGTATAATATTACAGCTAATTGTAGCATAAAGTATTTAATGATTTTAATTTATTGAGTAGTACAATATGCCAAATTGGCAATGCCTTCATTAATCTTGTCCACACAGTAATTGAAAGAAGCCCTGCCCTCTGTACGAGGTTGTATTAATTGGATTCCGTCCAAGAAAACATCATAAACCTTTTGATCCAAATGTTACAAAGTATGAATTCCAGATTGGGAGACCATATAAATATTTTTAATAAATTCATATACTTTTTTTTACGAAATGTTCTATTCACAAAAATATTAAATGATAGTGATCAGCCACCAATACCAGAATTCATTTTCATCAACTTCCCCCTGGTTATGACCCCTTGCAGGGAACCACCTAGGGTGCAGGTATAATTTTGTGATGAATGATAAAAAATTGCTTAATATAAATGCCGAGCCATATTTTTATTACCATGGTCAGGACAACTACCCTGTCACTTTGATTGCAATATCAATTTTGATTGCAACAAAAACTCATATATAAGTTCTATATATAAGTTCTTATGTAAAAACTCATATATGTCAGTTTTTTCCATTCCTATCCAATTCAAATCATGCTGGCCACGAAAACAATTTCCTGATTGCAATACAATAAATTGCCAAATGCCTGACAATTTGGGCTAGCGACGCCCCTGAATGCTACAATGATAGCAACCTCTATTGCTATTATATCTCCAACCTTGAATGTCCTATTTAGTACAGTAGTTAATTAATTAATGGAAGTAATCAACATGAAGTCAAGTACATTACCGGCCACTGATGAGAAATATTGTCCAGAAGTACAGTGAAATAACAAAATAGGGTGCACTAAAGAGCATTTTGGCTTAATGATCTAATGAGATAATTAACCAAAGATAGGTAGACATGCAGATGGATAACCTGCGCGCAGACTATATAATGACATATATAATGACATATATGTCATTATATAGTCTGCGCGCAGGCTAGCAGATGGACTGGTTAACCCATTCAAATACCAAGTCCAATACTTTCCCCTTGACGAGAAAAAATTCTGGCGTTAAACAGCTTAAACTAACAAAGTAGGGCAAACTGAGGCACATTGCAGCTTAACTTGCTCCAACTCTATCATTACAAACTGTAAATTTTAATAGTAATTCCTATCCAGACACAAAATTTGGTTATAATTCAATAATTTGAAAAGTGCTGTTGCACTCCTAACCTACTAAACTGCTGGCAAATATTACAACATATAAGGAAAGCTATAAGGGCAGTTAAAAAATATAACAAGGATTTGGTTTATAAACTGTTAATTTCTAGAGATGATAACACAATACAAACATGGAATTCACTATATTCATATTTTTAATGATATGTTTTTTAAGTCTAAATTCCTTTTAATATTCCTCTGATATACAAATCTTCTGAAAACTTTAATATTATCAAGGTTTATAACCGACTTAATATTAGAATTGAGACTCTTTTCAGGTATTTTAATACTACAGTAGCAATTAACACACAGTACATTGTTTTTGTTTTTGTTCTTAAATTGCCCTTTCCACGCGCTCTTTCAACCATTAGAAACATAATAGCGTTAAAGGGCTAAATTATGCCGGAGGAACCACAAATGTCTCTACATTTAAAGCTTTTTTCAAACTGACACAGAGGTGAACGGACAAGATTACAATTAATTATCACATTTTTCTTCGACAACAGCACTCTTCGCGGCTCCTGCCGGCTCTATACTGACCCTGTTTCACACGCAATATTTTCCTTATTCAGTCACTAACACACCTTTTCTATCCCACTATGAAGAACATCAACATTTCCACCAAAACCCCGAAAACATCATCATTTTATAGAAGAAACAATCAAATATTTCAAACAATTTGTTTTGCTTTTGCCAACGCATGCGCTGTTCGGTCGACATACAGTTTTCTGTATGTCTGACATGGATTATCCCAGAGCCTTCGTTTCCTTCCCAAGGATCGCAGGCTCGGGGAACGAGATTGTGCAAATACATCATAAATTCCTTTATTTATCAAATCATGGATGTCATGTGACCAGTAACATAAATAGGCATATGTAATATCCAAGCTTTATTAACTATAAGTTGTTTTTCAAATACAATAATATCAAGCTCGCCATGCTCTGTTCGCCATGCGGTCTAGCTTATGTCCTCGCAAAGCATTGTTGTCTATATACGGTATGTGACGTTGACGTCATCATCACACTCCTCCCTACCTTCGCATTTAATACTTTCTAACTTCAGAACATGCAAAACTATAACTCAAAATTTTTTTAATAGTACCTGGACCCTATTTACCAGTTCATAAGTTAATGACTGAGAATTGCCGAGTCCGGATCATGATAAAAGTTTGTTCATTGTCTATCCCTTGCAGCGTACCTTCTTGCATCCTCTTCGTTTTCTTGATCCTGTTCGTTTCTTACTATCTCATCCTCTTCTTCATCTGACGGTTGATCATCAAGATGGTATTGTCGCTCTTTTTCACCAAGGTTAAGACGCTTGAAATAGGATATGTTTCTGGTAATTTGATGAGAGTGTCGTTGGGCTGTAATTGTGGCACCGTGGACTTTAATCACTTTGTAAGGGGCTGGATTGAATTTTGTTGAAAACTTGTTCTTCTTTTGTTGTTTATATATAACCAAATCACCAACGTTAATCAGAGTCTTCTTTGTGTGCCTCGCCTGATCAGTATACCTTTTCATTTGACTTTTGGAGTTGTGATCATTCTCCTTTGCCATGATATGCTTGTCGATTGGTTTTGATGAAGTGTATTGTTGTGGTAACTTGGTGCGAATTGTTCTGTTAAACAGGAGTTCGGCTGGGGCAACTTTTGTGGTGCTGTGGGGAGTCGCTCGATAATTCAGGAGGAAGGTGAATAATTCTTTTTTCCAATTTCGGCCCTCTGTTCGAGCTGTTAGAATGGACTTGAGCAATGGTTTCATGAATGACTCCGCTTCTGAGTTGCCCTGTGGCCATAAAGGGGTGACTGTTACAAACTCAATGCCATTGGATCTCCATGTATCGCCTGATTTCCTGTCCGTTGAATGGAGGGCCATTGTCAGATACAACTTTGTATGGAATTCCATGCGTTGAGAATATTCTGTTCAGCTTCGGGATGAGTGCTGCTGCTGATGTTGAATGTACGACTTCGACTTCCGGGTACCGGAAATATTCATCAATTGCAACAAGTATCAGCTCTCCAGTCGGAAGTGGACCTAGAAAGTCTATGTGCACTGTATGCCATGGTGTTGGTGGCATCTTTGACATTTTGAGTGGTACTGGAGGGTGAGCTGGAGTGGTGCTTTGGCAGGGGATGCAGGCATCGATGATCTTTTTCACCATGGAATCAATTGATGGGAACCATATTTTCTCTCGAAGCAACTGCTTAGTTTTGGTTAAGCCTTGATGGCCTTCATGGGCCAGATCGATGGCTTGTTTTCTCAGGGATGTTGGTATAACTATTCGGGTGGATTTCAGAAGCAGGTCATTATCTTTACTAGCAGTCAACTCGGTTCGGATGCTATACAGAATACTAAGTTCCTGGTTGTTTATGTTTGGATCTGGTCAAGTTGCGTGCCTCATGCCAATTTCCATTCTGAATATATTTCATAGCAATCTGCAGGGTTGCATCTTCTTTCTTTTGCTGTTTAATTTCTTCCAGGCTGATGGACTTGGGAGTACTGTGCTGTGCAATGAAGGTGATGTACTCTTCTGCTAACTCGCCTTGACGATGTGTTGCACTTGTGTTCAGGGGGTGTCGAGACATATAATCTGAGGGATTGTCCTTCCCGGGGCTATGTTGGACTCGAAAACGGTATTTGTGAAGACGTAGGAACCATCGCTCGATCCGTGCAGGAGGTTTGGACTTAGGGTTATTGCAGATCAACTCTAATGGTTTG